AAACAGCCAGGAATCAACCAGGATCCATATAGGATGTGGGTGTTGCAGGCAGCGGCTTAACCCACTACATCATGCACTGAACCTGATGTCGTCATTATTTTACAATGTCTTCTAATGGTGATTTTGTCATTAATTCCCACTATTTTTGAAAATGAAGTTACATTTGACAACAAGACACAGAAAAGTATTAAGTCCCAGATTCCCACATATGTGTTTTCATATATTTAAATACACACATATATGCATTCTCATATATTTCGTTTCCCTCTACTCCCCACTGTTTTGAATAAAAGCAGTGCATACTATATGGTATCCTAATTTTTCACCTTTCTTAATATGCACTTTTATTTATGTATTTGTTTTGGAAACCAGAGAGAGCGTGCTGTCCCATCTGTTGGTTCTCTCCTCAAGGGGCAACAATGCCTGGCACGGGTCCAGGCTGAAGGCAGGGGCTAGGGACTCCATCCATGTCACCCATACAGATGGCAGAAACCCAACTACTTGAGCCAAATTCGGCTGCCTCCCAGGAAATGCATTAGTAAGAAGCTAGAATTGGGAGTGGAGCCAGAATGCAAACACAGATCCTTGGGTATGGGTTGTGGGCATCTTATCTGTTAGGCTAAACACACTCCCTCCAACTGGAAAGTATTTACATTCTGCTACTTTATTTTTATCATCACATTTAATGACAGCTGGCATGTCACTGAGCACACGTGTTTTTGATGTTACTCATTCTTTCATGTGCTCTGGAAAATTAGATTATTTCCTTTTTTTTTTTTTTTTTTTTTTCTAAGCAATAATACCATGAACAACTTCAGGCATATAGCTTGCTCCTTGTTTATAGTTAGAAGTCCCCAAAGAAAGATTTCTCTATAAAATGTTTGAGTAAAACATAAATGGTTTGAATAAAGCTTCTTCCAAGCTGTCCTCCAGTAGAATGTATCTCTTCATCTCTGCTTCTTCCTGTCCAGTTTTGCTTATTACCCTGTTGGGTTTCTTTTTACCATTCTATTTTGAAACAGTTATAGATCCACTGAAAGTTTGAAGAAATGAACAACCTTCACTCAGCCTCTCCCAGTGTAAACATCTTGCACAACAGTTGCAAACGTTGGCATGACTGACAACAAACCCAGGATTTTACGTTAGTACAGTCCACAACACTTGTGCCTATTTCATTAAACAGACAGTTGTATGTGAGCGTGTGTGCATGTGTGTTCCCGCATAACGTCATGTAATTTCATCAGGTGTAGCTTCACATGACCACCGCCACAATCAAGATCCTTTCCTGGCCGGCGCCGCGGCTCACTAGGCTAATCCTCCGCCTAGCGGCGCCGGCACACCGGGTTCTAGTCCCGGTCGGGGCGCCGGATTCTGTCCCGGTTGCCCCTCTTCCAGGCCAGCTCTCTGCTGTGGCCAGGGAGTGCAGTGGAGGATGGCCCAAGTGCTTGGGCCCTGCACCCCATGGGAGACCAGGAAAAGCACCTGGCTCCTGGCTCCTGCCATCGGATCAGCGCGGTGCGCCGGCCGCAGCGCGCCGGCCGCGGCGGCCATTGGAGGGTGAACCAACGGCAAAGGAAGACCTTTCTCTCTGTCTCTCTCTCTCACTGTCCACTCTGCCTGTCAAAAAAAAAAAAATCCTTTCCTTTCCCCCACAAGATTCTTCCTATTACCCATTTACAGCCAAGCCACAGCTCCTCCTCCATCCTTAATGCCTGTCAGCTGCTAATCTTGTTTTCTGTTTCTATAAATTATTCCGTGATTATTCAATAGGTGAAATACTGTAATACTTGTCCCACTGAGATTTTTTTCTTCACCATGTATAATTCATTGTTCATCCATGTTGTTTCTTCTATCAGCAGTTTGTACCCCTTAACAAGTGGTAGTCCATGGCATACATATTGCAGTTTGTTTAGCTGTTTACTTGCTAAAGAACAGTAGGAATTCTAGTTTGAGGCTATAGTGAATAAAACTACTGTAAATCACATTCATGATTCTTCACTCAAGAAAAAGTTTTCGTATCTCAGGGCTACATGCTGAAGAGTGCAATTGCTGAGTTGTAGGGCAATTGTGTGGTTAGTTCTTGTGTGTTTAGCTAGTTTTTTAAGACCTTGCCCAACTGTTAAGTGGCTCTAGCATTTAACACTTCTACCGATAGTATATGAGTGCTCCAGGTTTTCTGCGTCCTCTCCAGCCTTTTCTCTATCACGGCTTTTTGTTTCAGTTTCAGCCATTCTGATGTTTTACAGATTGATATTGTGTTAGGATATAAATGTTCTTTTCTTAATGGGTAATATTGACCATATTGTTGTGTGCTGCTTTGCTGTCTGTGTAGCCTCATTTTGAAATATCTATTCATATCCTTTATTTCCTAATCCAGCTTTTAAAATTTTCGGTTTTGAGAGTCCTTTATGTATCTTAAATACAAGTTCTTGCTTAGACATGTGATTTGCAGCTATTTTCTCCGTATCATTAATTATAATTTTCATCTTTTTAAGCAAGGGCTTTCACAGAAGATTTCAATTGTGACAAACACACCACTTTGTCCTTTTATGAATCATGCTAAGTCTAAGAAGTCTTTGTGTACCTGTAGTTCTCAAAGACTCTATCCTATTAGTCTTAGAAGGTTTTTTGAGGGTTTAATTTTTTAATTTACAATTTTAAAGATACAAAGAGAACATATTTTATGTGCTTTACAGATAGAATTCAGAGAATATAATGATACTTTCTTTCCTCCCATTTTCCTCGCCTCCCTTCCCCTTGGTATCTTTTTAAGTTTTGTGATAATCTATTTTTAAATCTATAGTCAAAAGGCTCAAGGTGCCACTAAATAAAGAGTTCAATGAGTAAAAATAGATGGGCCATTGTTCAGCAGGAATGTAGAGTAGGCTATAAACAATTGAAAAATCCAAAGACATGAATTTTGCTCCTCTATAAGAAATTTTAGCTGTATAGTAAGTAATAGATACCATAGAAAATGTGACTTTTTTTCTTTTTGAGTAACTTATTTCACTCAGCATAATGATCTCCTAGTAAAAGCACAAAAGAAATTAAAAAACAAATGGTAAGAATATTTACAGAAAAATGTCAGGACCAAGTCATTACTGATTAACAATAAACTTCAATGTAAATGACCTAACTATTCCAATTAAAAGAAACAGACTGATTGAATGGATTAAAAAACATGATCCAGGCCGGTGCCGTGGCTCACTAGGCTAATCATCTGCCTTGCAGCGCCGGCACACCAGGTTCTAGTCCCGGTCGGGGCGCCGGATTGTGTCCCGGTTGCCCCTCTTCCAGGCCAGCTCTCTGCTGTGGCCAGGGAGTGCAGTGGAGGATGGCCCAAGTCCTTGGACCCTGCACCTGCATGGGAGACCAGGAGAAGCACCTGGCTCCTGGCTTCAGATCAGCGCGGTGCGCTGGCCTCAGCGCTCTGGCCGCGGCGGCCATTGGAGGGTGAACCAACGGCAAAAGGAAGACCTTTCTCTCTGTCTCTCTCTCTCACTGTCCACTCTGCCTGTCAAAAAAAAAAAAAAAATCATGATCCATCCATATGCTGCCTACAAGAAACACACTTCATCAACAAAGGTACACACAGACTGATAGTGAAAGAGTCTAAGAAGAGACTGCATGCAAGTGGAAATGTAAAAAAATGAGAAGTAGCCGAACATCAGACAAAATAGACCTAAAGACAAAGACTGTGAAAAGAGACAAACAAGGTTATTATGCAGTGATGAAAGGATCAGTTTAACAGGAAGCTGTGACTATAGTAAATGTATTTGACCCAGTGCTGCAGCACGTGGCTATTTAAAGCAAATGTTAGTGACTCTAAAGGGAGACATAGGCTCCAATACAATAATACTGGGTAACTTCAACACCCGCTTTCATCAGTGGCAGATCAACTGCACCAAAAAATTCAACAAAGAAACAACAGAGCTAATCTGCAGTATTGACCAAATGTATCTAATTGTTATCTACAGAGCATGTCCTCCCACAGCTACAGAATACACATTCTAGAACTTTCTCTGGGATGGATCACATGCTAGGACATAACACAAGTATGAACAAATTTTTAAATAATTTAAATATTACCATGTATCTTCTCTGACAACAATACAATGAAGCTAGAAATTAACAACTTAAGAAATCCCTATGTAGTCTGTGAACACATGGAAACTGAACAGCATGCTCTTGAAATGAACACTGGGTCTTGGAAGAAATGAAAGGAGAAATCAAAAAATTATTAGAGATAAATAAATATGAAAACACAACATATCAAAGCTTATGGGATGGAGCAGTGTTAAGAGGAAAGGTTCTAGCAACTTTTGTCTCCATCAAGAAATTGGAAAGGCATCAAATAAATGATCTAACAATGGATTTAAAGATCTAGAAAAGCAAGAACAAACCAAACCCCAAATTAGTGTGAAGAAACACATAATTAAAATTAGTGTGAAGAAATAAACAAATTGAAACAGCAAATGATACAAGAGGTCAGTGAAATGAAGAGCTGGCGTTTTCCTAAAAAAGGAAAAGAAAATTGATACCGTATAGGCCAAACGAATAAAAAGGTGGTTTGTGGATACCAAAATTAATAAAATCAGAATTTAAGAAAGGAGGTGTTACAACAGATACCAGAGAAATTAAAAGAATCATCAGGAAATACTACAAGCAGCTATGTGCTAACAAGGCAGAAAATCTAGAAGAATGTATAGATTTCAGGACATACCCAATTTACCAAAATTGAGACATGAAAATACAGAAATCCTAAATAGACCAATTACCAAGATGGAGATGAATCAACTTATTAGAGCATCAAGTGACAAAATTGACATAATTTTACTGTTCCTTTTAGATGAGTTTTTCCTTGAAGATATAGGAGGGGACGCTTGAGTTCTTTTATTCACCCAGATGTTAAGTAAGATCATGTGTTTGTCTGCATTCTGTTAGTACAACAAAATATCCAAGACTGAGTACTTAGGAAACTGGCAGATTTGTTGACTCACAGTTCTGGAGGTCCTCAGGCTGGGTATCTGCTTCTGCTCAAGTCTGTTGAGGACTTCATGCAGATGGCATCATAGTGGTGGGATTCTGTGTGAATGATGTCACAAGAGATCTGAAATGCAGGTGGGGCTGGGGAGGCAGGCTCATGCTCTTCGTATGTAACACCTTACTCTGGGGAGAACAAAGTCCACGAGACCAGCAGTATCCCCTTCCAAAGGTGTTGGTCCCAGTGACCTAACTGCCTTCCACGAGGCCCCACTTTGTAAAGATCCCACGACACAGAGCCCCAGGCCTCTAGCACATGAACCCGTATCGGAAAAAACACATGCAAACCATAGCAAGTTGCAAGGACTTAGTCTCCTTATAATTGATGTCAAATACCAACATAAAATACTTTGAAAAAGTGCTAACAGAGAAAATGATTATAAGTTAAATAGATAATTTAATTTTTAAAGATTTTTTTTTATTTGAAAGTCAGAGTTACACAGAGAGAGAAGGAGAGGCAGAGAGAGAGAGAGAGAAGTCTTCCATCCAGTGGTTCCCTCCCTAATTCGGAACAATGGCATGAGTTGCGCCAATCCGAAGCCAGGAGCCAGGAGTCAGGAGCTTCTTTGGGGTCTCCCACACAGGTACATGGGCCCAAGGACTCGGACCATCTTCTACTGCTTTCTCAGGCCGTAGCAGAGAGCTGGATGGGAAGTGGAGCAGCTGGGACTCGAACTGGCACCCAAATGGGATGCCGGCCCTGCAGGTGGTGGCTTTACCCTCTATGCCACAGTGCTGGCCCCAAATATATAATTTGTAATACATAAATATATACTTAAGTTTTCTAAGCTATGTTTAGAGGCCTTGAGGTAAGGTATTAACATATCAGATATCCCAATTCAAACCTGCACAACCATAATCAGAGATCTATTGGGTAATAAAAGGCTAGAAACAAAAAGAACCCATGGTAATAAACCTGTTTCTCATGGTGTAGAAATTAGTATTCTGAAACTAATTTACATGAATAGTGGTTTGAACAAATAATTCAGTTGTAGAAATTGGGAACCTAATTTCTTAGTCTCAGACAACAAATTAAAAATAAGAGATTAGATTGAACCTTGTGGTTCTGGATTTGAGTCTGAAATATCAGCAGGAACTCTTGGCTACTTGAATATTCATGCAAATAGATACAGAAATATTTCTGACCTATGGGTTAGTGCATGAGTGGGCACAGATGCCATAGACTGGGTCAGTTGCAGTAACACCCCAATAGCAACAAAGGCACTCAGTGCTCAGGTATTAGTTCTCAAATATTATCCTCCAATCAAAGGAAGCAGTGATCCTTGGAGAAAAAACTGATTCTAGGACTGGGACAGGGAAAATAGATGATGAGTCTGGAGCACACTAATTACAGAAAGGAATCTAGTGTTAATGAGAAGGAAGAATCAGAAGAGAAGGAGTCATAGCAAAAGGATACGTGAGGGACTGGTGCTGTGGCATAGCATACAAAGCTGCCACCTGTGGTACCGACATCCCATTTGGGCACCACGTAGAGTCTTGGACGCTCAACTTCTGATGCAGCTCCCTGCTGATGCATCTGGGAGAGCAGTGGAGGATGCCCCAAGTGCTTGAGCTCCTGCACGCACATGGGTGACCCAGAGGAAGTTCCTGGCTCCTGGCTTCAAACCAGCCCAGCTCCAACCCTTTTGGACATTTAGGGAGTGAACCAGCCAATGGAAGGTTTCTCTCTATGAGATAGCGTGGTCATCTGGGAGATTTAGCTTTACTTTTCTGAGGAATCGCCATAGTGTTTTCCATAATAGTTGTACCAATTGGCATTCCCTCCACCCATGTATTAGAGAACCCTTTTCTCCACATCCTTGCCACCATTTTCTATTTTTTGATCCCTGGATAATAGCCACTCCATCTAGGGTGAGGTGGGACCACATTATGGTTTTTATATGCATTTCCCTGGTTTCTAGTGACATTGAACATCTTTCTTCCATTTCTCTGTTGTCCACTTGCATTTCATCTTTGAAAACAGCCCCTTCCTATCCTTTGCCTGTTCTCCCATTCTGTCAGTTACCTCTTAACTTTGTTGACTGTTTCCTGTGTGATCTCACTTGTTTATTTTTTTTCCTCTGATTGCCTGTGTTTCTGGAGTCTTATCCAAGAAGTCGTTGCCTAGTCCAGTATATTACAGTGTTACCCTGTGTTTCCCACTAGGAATGTGATGATTCTGGATGTTGAATTTCGGTTCTTGATCTTTTCTCAGTTGATTTTTGTGTAGGCTGTAAAATAGTTCTGCATATGAAGATCCTATTGTCCGACATCATTTGTAGGGGACACTTTCTTTCCCTCAAGAAATTATTTGAGCTTGTTTGTCAGCGATTTGTTGGTTGTAGATACATGGGTTAATTTCTGGGGTTTGCATTCTGTTCCATTGCTCCATTTTTGTGCGGGGACTAGGCTGTTTTGTTTATGACAGGCCTGTAGTTGGTCTTGAAACCTGGTCTTGTGATGCCCCAGCTTGTGTTTTCATTGTTGAAGATTTCGTTGAGGACTTGGGGTCTTTTGTGTTTCTGTATGAATTTTAGTGTGTTGCTTCTAGTTCTGTAAAAAAAATGTCCTTGGTTTTTTGATAAGGATCACATTGCATCTCAGATTTCTTTGGTAGTGTCTCTATATTGTCCCCCTCCAAGGTATTCTTATAAAAATTAAGTTACTCTGGGATAATCATGAAGATACATCATGTGACCAATCCAAATTTAAAGAAATTCTATGAAATATCTCAAAGTTTGAAGGTCATAGAAAACAGGGGAAACAATTAGAAAGGATTTTATAGCAGAGGAGATGAAAAGGAGACAAAACAGCTAAATGCAGTGTGATATCCTGGATTATATCCTGAAAAAGAACAGTTATTTTCTGAAATGAAATCCAAATAATCTCTGGTTTAGTTAATGGTGTTTCCAGTTTTTGTCATGTGTCGTGGCTGATTAGCATGTTAACATTAGGAAAAACTGAAGAGGACAGATATAATCTTTGCGAATTTTCTGTGAATGTAAAAGTATTCCAAAAATTTTTAAAATATTTTTGTCAATAAATAGGAATAAGATTGCAAGATGTCCATTTCATTATTATACTTTTTTGTACACTACACTAACTCTCACATATCAGAGAATAGATATGATATTTGTCAATTCTTGGGACAGGCTTATTTCACTAAGCTTTTTTGATTGTTGTTTATGCTCCTGTGGAACGGTAGTCTTTCTACTTTTTAATTGTTGAATATTACGGTTAGTGATGTATTAAACCTGTGATTATAGAGTGGATTAAAATTATGTTTTTGTAAAAATTAAAGGAAAAAAGAAGAGAAGGAGGGTAGTTGAGGGAGGGAGAGAGGGGAGGAGGAAAGTATAGTTATCTTCTTGGATTTATACCTGTGAAATGCATAAAATTTGTTCTCTTTATATGAATGAAAAGTTTTTAAAGTATAAATTGATCTGTCAAGTGAAAAATAAAATAATTTTTAAAAAGTGAAAAAAGCAATAATACTGATACACACTGTAAGTTGGTTGAGCCTTGAATATATTAAATAAAAAACTATCCATAAAAGGCCTTGTATTATTTTATGATTCCATTGATAGGAAATGTCCAGAATAGGCAAATATATAGAGACAGATAGTAGGTAGTGATGGCCTAGAGAACAGTTAAAGGAGGAAGAGACATCATTGCTAATGGGTACTGATTTTTTAGAGATGATAGAATGTTCTTTTTTTTTTTTTTGACAGGCAGAATTAGACAGTGAGAGAGAGGCAGAGAGAAAGGTCTTCCTTCTGTTGGTTCACCCCCCAAAAATGGCCGCTTCGACTGGTGCGCTGCGCCGAGATAGAATGTTCTAAAACATATTGTGATGATGCTCACATAACTCTCAGAATATACTCAGAAACATTCAAGTGAATGCTCTAAATATGTGAATTACTGTATCAATAATGCTAGCATTTAAAATAGGAGAGAGTATGGGCAAGTGCTATGACATAGTGGGATAAGCTTCCACCTGTGGCACCAGCATCCCATATGGGTGCAAGTTCCTGTCTGGCTGCTCCTCTTCCAAGCCAGCTCTCTGCTTTTGGCCTGGGTAATCAATGGAAGATGGCCCAAGTGCTTGGGCCTGTGTGGGAGACCAGGAAGAAGCTCCTGGCTCCTGGCTTCCGATCAGCCCAGCTGGGGCCATTGTGGGCTAACTGGGGAGTGAACCAGCAGATGGAAGACCTCTCTTCCTGTCTGTGCCTCTCTCTCTCTGTAACTCTGCCTCTCAAATAAATAAATAAAATATTTGAAAAACATGTAAATTGGGGCTGGCTCTGTGGTATAGTGGGTAAAGCCGCTGCCTGCACTGCAGGCATCCCATGTGGGTGCTGTTTCTTGTCCTGGCTGTTCCATTTCTGATCTAGCTCTCTGCTATGGCCTGGGAAAGCAGTGAAAGATGGGCCAAGTCTTGGGCCCCTGCACCTGCATGGGAGACCTGGAAGAGGTTCCTGGCTCCTGACTTCGGATCAGCGCAGCTCCAGCCATTCTGGACATCTGGGGAGTGAACCAGTGAATGAAAGACCTCTCTGTTTCTCTCTGCCTCTGCCTCTGCCTCTGTGTAACTCTTTCTTTCAAACAAATATATACACCTTTTAAATATAAAAGTAAAAAGTGACTGCAGCTTTTTAAAAATTAATTTTAAACTAATTTTTTAAATTAAGTTTTTAAAAATTAAAAAGTAGACCGATCCAAAATGGCTAAGTAGCGAGAAGCTGCACTGGACTCAGCCACAGAAAGATAACGGAAAAACATAAGCAGGAACTTTTTCCCAGATGATTGACACACAGATCTTTTCAGTGGAGAAGTGACAGAATAGAACAGAGAATCCATGGGATGGAGAGGAAAGAGGACACATATCCCAGTGCAGATAACCACACCAGGCTACCTGCTATCTATGCAGCTGGTTTTTGGCTTGGAAATGTCATCTTCAGAAGAGTAGGTAGTAAGAAGTTGCTGTGGCAATGCTCCTGGCAGATGTAACTGAGGAAGAATTCCACTGTCCCCCCACTGACTTCAAGTACAGCCAGGGGAGCTGACTTTGGTGTGAGTGGCTATTTTGCTCCAAAAAAGAGAAGCCACATTGCATTCTTTTT